ATATAATTTTCCTCGATATTACCAAGTTCTCCTCCAAAGTGGTTGCATCAGCTTTCTACTATCATTATCTCAATATAGTTTTTTTTCTCACAACCTCAAAGGCTGTAGCAGAATGAATTGTAATACTTTAAAATTTTTGCTGATCTGAAAAATGGGAACTAGCAACCGAGTACAAGCTTTACTTGGCATATTCCTAAGAATCAGTGAATTTGAATATCTTTTCATATGTTTGACCATGGATATCATTTTTCATGTGTTTCCATTTTCTGTAATAAATTGTATCCACAAATATGACAGTTTTTGAGTACTGCAATTCCTTCTGCTGAATCATTGGAATTGATGATGCTGTTAGGGACCCTCAAGTGAAATTTCCATTTCTGTTATATTCTTTTTTACTTCCAAATTTCTATTTGCTTCTAATAATTTCTCTTTATTTATGTTCTTTATTTGGTGAGATACAGTTCTCACTCTTTTTAAAATTCTTTTAGTTCATTAGATATATTTAAAACAACCAAATTGAAGTCGCTGCCTAGTAGGTCCAACTTCCACACTGCCTGGACTGTTTCTATTGGTTGCTTTGACTTGTGTTTGAGTCATAAGTTATTTCTTTGCATGTTTTCTGTGTGAGTGTGTGTGTACGCACGTTGGTTTTAAGTAATATAACAACCTTACTCTGGCCCCTAACCAGGCAGGGGTTTTGTTGTTTCTTTGTACTTTGTCCAAATTAATCTTTTAGTGTCTGCATTCTTTGTCATGTGGGGTCACAGAAATCTTTGCTTCGTTATTTGAGAGGTCAACTAAGAACTGGACAGAGATTTCCTGAAATACCTTTGCCCAGGGGCTTTGTGTGCATGTTGGGGAGTCCACTAAAGACTTAGACTGTGGATAACATCTGATTGCAGCACCTCAAGTTCATTAATGTGTGAGAGCTTAGAACCTCCTTAGGTCTTTTCTGAGCATACATACAGACAGGTGGCCTTACAGATTCTATGAATATGCTGAAACTTTTCAAAGCCCTTATGGATATCTCTCTCCAATCTTTTTCTTTTATGCTCTTTCGTGATTCCATTATTTTCCCCAAGTCTTATCCACCACTTCTGGCAGCTAGAAGTTCATAAATTGACCAATAATTTTTACCAAAAGTCCCAGGAGAAAGTTTTTCATATTGGGAGAGGTTTGAGTTGGTTCAAAGACAGCCTTACAAGTGGGTCATCAAGGAAACCTCCAGATAGGTGAAATAGTGACAAATCTCTCCAATAGAGACTTAAAAGAACTCCAAGCACATTCTGTCCCTTTGTGACTCCTAGCCTGCTAGTTTTCATCATCAATGCAAGCTGTGTGCAAAGTTATAGTGAAGTTGGCAAGGGGTGGAGAGAACAGGGAAGATTCAGGTGTCGTGAAGCTTGCTGTTCTTACCAAGATTTAGTTGCTTTTCTCAAATAATCTCTCCTCAGATTGCTGAAGGCCTTTGGTTAACTTCCAGAGTTTTGTAAACAAAAATAATTCTGACAATTTTTGCCAGTTTTCTTGTTTATCAAGGAGAGGCTTTTCAGCAATCCTCACCATCTTTGTGGACCCAGAGCGAGTTAAATATGAACTGCATGATGTCATTTTTTCAGAATCACCCTAACACTTTCTCTATTTTCAGTCAATACGCTCCCACTCTCCAGAGCTCGTTCAAGTTATGAGGGAAGTGTCACCTACCCCAACTGCCTACAGAACATAAACTGTCATTAAGCTTATTTTCCTGTTGGCCTTCTTTACTTCCAAGATTTAAATACATCAGAAAAAAACCCATTCCTCTCTCTGTTGGCAGTTCCAGTAAAGTTAAATTAAGGCTCATGGGCTCTCCGGCATCAGAGGTCTACATACTGTCCAGAGGGATGGTGCTCTCCTTAACCAGCCCTGTCCTCTGGTGCCAGATCTCTCACCAGCTCAAACAGAACCATCTGGATTGAGAGTATGGCAGGGAATGAAAAACTGTTATCATCTATTTCTGTTCCATTGCTCCAGGGTTGTGCTCCTGCTTCTCCCCAGAAGACTGCTAGTGTGATTGACATGCCCTCCAGACCTCACCTTAAATGTTTCCTCTTCAGACAGATCTCTTCTGATCATTGAAGTAGCTCCCTTCCCCTTGTTATTTATTACAATACTCTTCTTTAACCTTCGTATACTTTGGATGGGGCATTAGGTTAATTTCCTCAGCAATACTGATTTGGTACCAACTAGGGCCAGTGTACTAGTTTATTGTGTTTCATAACACACTTGTCTGTTTGATTCACCACATTAGTCAATGCTTACAGTATAAAACTCAATTCCAAATAAAACTCAATTCATGAAGTGGTCCTTATGCTCAATCTAATAAGATAATTTGAGATGTTTAAATTAAAAATGGACTGGGGTCTACTGTTTTGTAGACTAGTTTTATTTCAATCTTTCCTCATCATCTTGCAACTTGTCTTAGGTGTACTCATTAAGATAGTAAGAAGAATCTTACATAAAAATTAAACGGAATATGAAAACATGATGAACTAACATGAACTTCACCCTATTGACTGAATGTAAAGTGAGAATATCTACCACAAAAATCACTGTAGCATCTGGACAGTGTTTGAAAATGTAAGATTTATTAATACAGTCATACAATTTCTATACAAATCTTAAACATTACAATATTTCAATTTTGTGAAAGGTTAAAATAAAAATATTCCTAACATTCTCTGACCATTAGATTCTGACAATTACCCAATTTTACGTATCCTGCCCCGCTGATGGGATAGCTAACACATTTTGGCTGTTTGTTGAATGTTCAGGTGACAGAGTGATAGCCCATTTTCTCAGCAGCTCCCATGGCTTTGGTGCCAACTCACATGCAGATGACTCACCAATTATAGTGCCAGCCAGAGCTTCAAATTTGTACATCCCCTGGCCTCCTGCTCTTAGTTTTCTCAAAACCAACTCAATATCACCTTGCATACAGTTGTACTCATGTCATTTTCCTCAATCCTGGTTCTTGTCCAGTATTATCTGTCACAACAGCTAGTACCACTAATTGGATGAGAAAAACCCATACATCTGGCTCCTTTTAGTTCTTTACCATACAATTTCCAAAGTTTCAATGTACCAACAACTGATGTCTGCTTTACCAAGTAGTTCCTGAGTCCCCTCGCCATCCTAGTCCAATTATCATTTCTCCAGTTGCATCTATAATGGACTCCTGCCTGGCCTATCCTCCCCAACTCAATCTGTTCTCTACACTGTTGTTAGATTACTCGCACAAAAATACAAAACGTGACCACATCACCATCTTTCCTTCTTAAAACCCACCAAACTTCATTTTTCTGCCTTAAATTCATGCAGAGGTTGGTCCTAGATACCTCTTAGCTCTCTCCTTCCCCCGTCTCTGTACTCTGGCTACGCTGGATTTTGACACAACCCCGAGCTCATTGGGAACTCTTGCCCTGAAAGGACTTAGATACACTCTCCTAATTGCCTAAGACACTTATTCTTTGAAACTTACGAATTTCTACTCAGGCTTCTTGTTTTAGCATGAATTGCTTTAGGGAAGCTTCTCCAACCTTGCTGGTTAGGCCAGGTGTCCCTGTGATAAGCTTTCACAGCACCAAGAACTTGCCCTCATAGGAATTATTACGATTGTAGCTTGACAATATTTGTATGATGCTTGATCAGCATCTGTCTTTCCTACTAGAATGTAAACTCCATGAGGGCAAAGCACGTGACCTGTCTGTCTCACTGACATATCCTCAGGGCACCGCCTGGAGTCAGACATAACTTATCAAACACTCAACAAGTAACTAAACGGTAGGAGTGTTCTGTGGAAACTTTCAAATGCAAATGTATCTTAGTATTTTTTGACTGTTTTATTTAACCACGCAATTGATTATAGTCAAGACATGGAATATGATAGCTCAAATCTTGGACCATTAATCCCAAAGGTCATATACCTCACCTACTTGCTGTGTCTGTGCTCTGAGGTATTTTCCTTGATGTTACTATCTAGTTAATTGTCATCTAAATATTCTTTTATCCTCATATTTAGCTTAACATTTTAACTCCTGCTCTCTTCTTTCCAAGATAGCAACAGTTCCACGAAGAAAGCAAACATTAAGTGTACACATAAAGATATAAACTTTTTTATGATATTTTAACTTGAATAAATGTTTAAGGAACTTTTAGTTTCCTTACTGCAGAAGGTACCTGGAATCACACGTCAGCAATTCCTTATTGCTCAATGCCCAGTAATTCTATTTATTTACCCTCCCTCCAATGTCCAAGGTTAGAGGTGATGGGAGAAAAAATAAACACAGAAATTCAGTAGGAAAAGGTCTTATCCATGTCAATGTTTTCGAGAATCATGGTTCAATTCTTTTTTTTTTTGTACTGGGGATCAAACTCAGGACCTTGTGAGGCAGGTGACAGCACCACTGAGCTAAATCCCCAGCCCTCATGGTTCAATTCTAAGGAACTGGCTTATAGACTTCACACTTGAGGGATATGAGAAATCTTGCAGCTTCAGGAATATCAGGAGGAGAATGAACACAGATCTTTCTTAAAGACAGGTGGTCATTTCTATGGGTGACTATACTTTGGAAGAAAGAAAAGTCACAAACTTTTAGGGGAATCTGGAATCTAAAACACAAAAAACTACTATCTTTTTACAGGGCAATGGCTCACAGAGGCCAACTGAAAAGGTGTGTGTGTGTGTGGTTTTTTTTTTTTTTTTTGCTTGTTTTGTGATGCTAGAGATTGATCCTAGAATCTTTTGTCTGAGCTACATACCCAGCTCTTTTTGATTTTTTATTTTGAAGCAGAGTCTTGCCCAGTCATTATGTTGGGATCAAACCTGCAGTCTTCCTGCCTCAATGTCCCTGACCGCTGGGATTACAGGGATGTGCCACCTTGTCCTCTTAAAAAGGTATTTTAAATTGACTTTTGGAACACAAAAATCACTATGCAGCCATTATCCCACGATGAGTGAGTATACTTAGGATAGAGATCCTTAGCAAGTGGCAGAATTCTCACTTTTTAACCCATAAAGGAAGAATTAGTTATTAGTGTCATGCCCGTTAAGGGGGAAGTATTTGCACTTTCTTCCCCATCAAAATATTAACTCAGAGGCAAAGTTTGTTTTTTCTTCTTGAAGGATTTTTAGAGATTAAAGCTATTACTGATTTGTGAGATGCTCGAGAATGATTTCATCCTGGTTAAACTTCTCAATAAAGTGTATTTTCCTTTCCTTACCATAGCTCTTTACCAGGATAGACAAGAAAAGTTCTTGCACCCTGAGTGGCAGATTCTTGTTTGTAACTGTGCATTACCTTGTTCTTGCTCATTTTGATGACCAGAAATTTGACTTCTTTAAGCAGAGGGTGTGGTTTGTGAACTCTGTCTCTGTGCCACAGTTCAGTCTTCTGGACCGGAATGACCTTCACTTACTCCTAGGATTTGACCTGGACACAGTACACTTATAACCCCAAGCCGAAAACTCCTGGAGAACAAGTGGCAATGCTCTAGCTCTCTTGGAAAGGAATAAGATAAGAGATAGATCTTTAAGAAATAAATGACTGACTTCCTCTGTTAAGTTACAGCAAGAAGTGGGGAAAGAGGTTCTAAAACCGAAGACATAACAGAATATCCCCTCTGAATGGAAGGCAAGGCGAAGCACACATTACAAATGGGGATTACTTTCAGCTTTGGAATCTGGTAGCACTTGTGTGACCTCTGACACAATTAACAGGTAACAAAGAGATTTAACTGGATCTCTGACCAATTAACAGGCAGTAGTACAGCAATTCGCCCAGAGCAGAGCAGAAGGTTTTTCAGCTGGCCCAGCCTGCAATAAAAGCTGTTCTGCTAACTGACCTGATGAATAGTGCTCAAAGTGCCCACAATTTACGAAACAGGCAAGCACTGTATGAGGGATTGCTGCTATACCTGGGACACAGGAGTTACCACGGCAGAGAACCCTGCAGAGCTGATACATGTTGCTATTAGTGACTATTCTCTCTCTTTTTAACAGCTCCTGACATGCTTCTAAGGCAAATATCTGACTATGAATTCAACTGAGTGCACACCCGAGCTGCCCTGACAACCTGGATGTTTTTGGTTCCACAACTCCTAATACTGCGTTTACTCTCTAAAACACTCGAGAAAGTGTGATACAAACAACAGGCTTTCAGGTCAGCAAGGATTAAAGCATTATTTAAATGCACTGTGTACTTGAACACAGAGGCAAAGACACTTTATACATTCTTTAGAAGCACTTAATAAAATCTTGTTGAATGAAGATGAACGCAGGACCCTGATTCTAGCAACTAAAACATTCCTAACAAATGGGAGGTGATCAAATGCTTTCATTTTTGCAGTAAATTTTACCAGACATTAGTCTTTGTTAATATTTATTTTAAAGATCACCTTTTATTGTAACAAATATAAAGTCATCGATGTCTTACAAATTGTCAAAAATGTTTGAAGTACAAAAAAATGCATTAGTAAAATGAAAGTTATGCTGTATTATTTGGTACATAATACTGTCAACATGCATACCAGAGGCCAGAAGAATTCATGCATTTTTGGAGAAGAAAATAAATCCAGATCGCTGCAGTGCTGTCTGGTTATAAATTCATTGCCTCGGTCAGCTTCCTCTCTTCAGGGATACCATTTACCTGCAATGCGGAAGAGTGAATATGAGCATGACTTAGGTAGGCTACAGATATTTTCAGGTGCGGCTCTAAACGAATTGTGGCAATGAGGAATTTTCCATCTCCTTAACATAATTTAAAATAAGGCACTTTTTTTCTGTTTTTTTTTTTTTTTTTT